ATCTAAATACATAAATACACGATAGATAATTGTTATAACTACATTAATAAAAAGCTTGTTAATATTTCAAAAAAATAGATGCTATGCTAAGTCTAAAATATTTAGGTTTAAATTTTTAAAACATGTATTAATGAGTGTATATTAAAATTAATGAGAATATGTAGAGAATTTCCACCATGGCATATACTTTTAAGTGAAAGTTTTGATTGGTTAAATGAAATGGTGTGTCCCTTAAATTGTTTTTTAATTGACACCTATGATTTTTTCTCTAGTGTCTCCTCAACTAATATATAGAGAATAGTCTCTCCTACTCACTAGAACCAAAAATTCATATTTACCTGTAAAATTTTAAAATATTGGAATAAATCACAATTTTGGAAAAGCGTATCAGAGACTCATGTAAAGATTTTTGGTGGAATTTTTTTGACAAATGTTAAAACTACAAATAAATGTAAGGAAAATACGGTTATATATTTTCTCACAAGACTTGTTAATCTATACCATTGAAATACCAGTTATTTATTTTTATAATCATGAAAATAGGTATTTAATTTGTAAACAAGAAAAATTGATTAATATAAAATCGAATTTCCTTCTAAAAATTCGAAATAGCTTACGGGACTTCATTTCCCAAAGTTGGTGATGATGTGGATCATCTCGAAGAATATGCAAACGCTTTTCGTACAGAATCATACAATCAGCTTTGCACACGTATTATGTGCCTACGTCGCAAAAAATCCACCGTGTCTTCTTCTTCACCAATCAAATCATCCTCCACATCAGCTGTCTCATGTTGTTACGTCTCTTTGCCATAATCTCCTAGACCCTGACTCGAACACCATCACTCGGATCCCAGATCTATCCCGGGTCGGACGATCCACCAGAATTCTTCTCTCCGATTACTTCTTGGAGACGGCAAACGCTTTCTTGTTTTGCACGCTACTACTCAAAAATATTCATCGCCTTTGTTCTAAATACGAATCTTTAAAACCTAAATTTCAATCGGAGAATAATGATTCGTTGGCTTTAGTGGATCAATTCACGGAGCTATCAAGATGGTTCGCACCGTTTACCTCGTCGGGTTCTCGGATCCAGATAACCAGATCCGGCTGTTTAAACCTGCTAAAACGGCTAGAGTCGAGCCGAGACAAGACACGAGCCAAGCTAAAACTCATCAAAGGACTAACTCATAGCTCATGGATTCTTGTTTTGGTTCTAGCCACTACATTGATTGTAACCATAGCTTCTCACGCCTTTACTTTGTTTACAGCCGGTCCGACTCTTTTAACCGATCGATTCAAACCGGTCGGTTTAATGAATAAGCTGACAAATAATGCGGCTCGGCTCGAAGTGGCTGCGAAAGGGACGTACATTTTAAGCCGTGATTTGGACACGATAAGTCAATTAGTGACTCAGATTAACGATGAAGTGGAGCACTGTAACATCCCAGCACCAGGTATGGGAATTTTTAGACTTAGGATAATTTACGGAGGTTTAGAGAATGGTTTTAGGGGATGGAGAAAATGATCCTTAGGCAATGGAAACCTATGGACCAACCCGCGAAAAGGTAAACGGGTTTAAAATGCAACTTAGGAAAATTTGGGTAAGATTTAGCAATGTTTAATAATAGGGACTTGGGTTGCAATTCTTGCTACTTGGAGAAAAGGGTAACCCAAGCAAGGCCCGTGATCGGAAAGCGGGCCGCCCAAGGGGGGAGAGCAGCTAGGTCGGTCGTAGAAAGGGGAAGGGAAAACCCTAGTTTTCCTTGGTGAGGAGGGAAAAACGTGGTGGCTAATGGGCTTGGCCCGTGTAGTAAGGAGGTGGAGAAAAATAAGGAAAGTGAATATTCTCTAGGGGATTTTCGTGTGTATAAATAGGGAGCTAGGGAGCTCATATTTGACACACCAAAATCATAATCTCCTTCCATAGCCAAAGGGAAACGCTTAGTAAGAGAGAATCGGAGGAGCTTGAG